TGGCAGGGGGGAAGGAGGGGGGACATGGGGGGCAGGGGGCACCACCTTCTAACAACCTGAACCGGCACTGAGTGAATCTGCACAAGTGACAGTGGGGGACACCACCTCACATGGCCTTCACGTGGCTATAAATCCACAGATACTCGACAGGCCTGCAACGTCTCTTTGTATGCTGCACACATTGTGGTAATAATAGCTGCTACACAGGTCACCTCTGCAAAGCTCAAAGGTGTGTAAGCATCTGTCTGCAGACTGGTCTACTGGGGTCTTGACTTTATTGGAAAATGGGTCATGTCTTGTTAAGTAGCAGCTAACTTGGCCTTTGTCTGCATTACAAAGTTTTGCCAGCACAGCTATGCCAAAGAAGGAGGTGAGGAGATCACACTCTGCAGCCAATGTTGCTCTGCAGATCCACGGTGGGGGGACGGTCCTGTAACTCCCCCGCACCCTGCAGTGGATGCAGCTCTGCCACTGAAAACAGGCTTCTACCACTGCAGTTTCTCTGTTTGGGAAAGCAGGTGTAGCTCTGGCAGTAGAAAAGCTTGTTCTGCTGGCAAAACCATCTGTACCTGAGACCTGTAACATTGCTGCTGCTGCTTCAGATGAAACAGCAGCAGCTTGCCCACCCTCTCCCACACTGTAGGTATAGCCTTTGTGTATAATCTAATTTTACAACTCGCACAGATCCAGCTTAAACACCTTTTAAAACCTATTAGCTGGTTATGCCTGACCCTTGGCAAGGGTTTCAAATCAATCACGGCCTGCTTATAACTTTAAAGCATGTTAAACTGTGCACCTCCTCTAGGTCCAAAGCTAAAACCATGTTAGCTAACATGCTTTAATTAACATTTACAAACTGTTTCCATTAGCCTAGTCTAGATAGAGCCCAGGATGCAGAAAAGCCGTTGCCTTTGTATATCATACAACTGATAAAGCAGAGATACACTGCAGTGTCACACATGCCTAGCCAGATTTCACTGAAGACGCATTTACTTCTAAGGTACCAAAAAATTAAAAGTATGAACCCTTATGCATTGCGCACATTCAGCCTGGTTTACATAAACAACATGAGGAAAAATATATTAGGCTAACTGATCTCTTGCCTGGTCCTCCATGCTGCAATGTCGTAGTATGTTCACCAGTGTTCTTTTTTAATCAGTCAAGGCTGTTTCCCTTGGGAGGCATAACTGTATGCAACTATGTTGCAACCTGAATCTGCCCTGAAGTTATTCCAACCTGCCCACTCATCTGTGCTCAGATATTTCGCATTTTTAAAACAGCATTCTTCACCTGTCTGAATGACTTTCACCCCTTTTTATCATTTTCCCAGATGCTTTTTCCATGGCTTTGCAATATTCACCTTCGAAACCAACATGCAAGATAAGCTACTCATCTCTCACTCAGATATGCCTCCTGCTGAATATCCATTTCAACTAAGTTTCACGTAAGAAGCATCTTCCACAGTCAATCTAACTTAAACAGTGAAGTTTGCAAGATCCCATACTCTGCTACAGAAGAGGCCACTATCATTTGCCACTAACTTATGAAATAGGTCCAAGTACCTATTTTAAATGATTCCATCAAGAAGTCCTACATTTTCCCCTCAATTTTTACAAGTTTTGCTATATTCTATCATCACAAAACTGTGAGGCACAGAAAAGTCATGGCATATATTTTCCTTTTTCTTTTTTGGTCATGGAATGAAAAATTCTCTTCACTAAAAAGGATGCACTCTTTCATGGCTGCTAAGGCTGCATCTATACTAACCTCCACCAAGCAGAAGCTCTGCCACTACCATCAGACCATCGCAGACCATCATCAGCTTTTGGCAACTCTGCATCCCCGCTGTAGCAACAGTGCCACCAGAGTACAAAGCGCATCTTGGGAATACATTAACTGCTGAAGAGACAGCTATGTTGGCAGAAGGTGTGGGAGCATCTATACCAGTAGTTCTCAACCTTTTTTAGACTCAAGGCACTGGTCCATAATTTTGTGAATTCAGTAGCACCCCATTTTAAAACGTAACTGATGTTATTACCTGAGATTGGAGGCTCTCAACCTTTTTCTGACACCCTTTAAAAAAATTCTCGCAACACCCCAGCACCCTGGTTAAGAATCACTGGTCTATACACTTTCTCTGTCAGTGGCTGGTTGACAGGAGAAGCTTCACTCCACTTAGTAAAGATGGTATTAGGAGAAAGGAAGGTTCTGCCACTATAGTAGTTTGGGCATGGACAAGAAGTAGTCCATGCCCAAACTACTGGAAGTAGTTTGGGCATGGACAAGAAGTTGTGCTGGCATAACAAAATTTTATAATGTAGACCAAGTTAACCACAAGAAATGTTTAATGGACACAAAAAAACAAACTCAAACAATAGCAGGGTTACCATACATCCAGATTTTCCCACACATGACCTCTTTTTGGGTCTTCTGATCTCCATCTGGGAGGGTTTTTTTTTTTTTTTTTTTTAATATGAACAAATGTCCAGGATTTTGGTCTGCTCAGTATCAAAGTTTTTTCTGGCACTTCCCAACTTGT